GGCTTAAGAAACCTTGAAAATGTTCTCCTATTTTCGCTGAAAATTGTATAATCCAGATCACACCCACTGTGGCTACTTTGTCTGTCTTCTGATGATTTATGTGCATATTTACCTGCTTTGGTAGCCTGCATGCTCTTTATATATACCTGGAAAACATGTGTTTCCAACCTTGAGTTCACTTTATTTGCAAACATTCTACATGTCATAGAGAAAAGAAATTGAGTTTCATTTCATACATTTAGAGGGAACTGTGTTTTAATCCGTAAGTGTAACATTTTTATATATTTTTGAAAGTACAGTATTGGTATTTTTATGTGATCTAATTTAACTACACATATTTTCATTTTCTCTTGTCATGATTTCTGTTGAAAAGATTTAATTATTTTCTGTTGATATAATGCTTACACTATTTTTCTTTATGTTGGTGTCTATAACACAAATCAAGAGTCATATTTATTTACCCATGTCATTTTAATTATCAGTGTCTATGTCTTCTACCTAATCAGAAATAACCTTTACTCTCACGTATATTTTGGGTTGTTTGTGGCATAGCTCTAACTGCTAAGAATACATAGTCTGCTCCTGGCTTTTGTTTGACATTCACTTTGTTCATTTTTATTATTGATATATTGCTGCTTCTGTGGAATAACAAATTTTGCAAAAATATTTTCCAAGATCTGCTACTGGCTGGCATGCAAATTTCTTCTAAAAGGGATTTCACTGCAGATATTTATGTGCCTATAAACATTTTATTTGCATTTCAGTGAAAATATGGCCAAATACAAAATAAGTTCAAATTTATTTTTAATTTTAAAATACCATATACATGCATATGCATACATGTATAAATATATACATATGTGCATATGCATGTGTATATATACATATACATATATGTGTGTGTGTGTGTGTGTGTGTGTGTTTATCCCACACATAGGTAATAGTAAATATGATAGGATGAAAAAAATCTGTCTTGCAACCTGGGGAAGATAGGCCATAAAATTGTTTGCATATGGAATCTGTGCTAAATGAGTCAGTATTGTTGTTTTTTACTCTTTTTTATTCTTTTGTCTTCTGGGGAGGGTCTGCCATCCAGCTCCCAAATAAATCCACGAGGCTTATTTTTACTTATAAATGCCTGATCTTAGCTTGGCTTATTTCTTGCAGGCATTTTTTAACTTAAATTCCTGGACTACATTTGCCTCTGGAGTTCCCTTTTCTTTTCTTCTGTGACTCTTACTTTCACTCTTACTCCATGGGTGGCTGGGTGACTGGCCCCTGAAGTCCTACTCTCCTTCTCTCTTACTCCTTCCTGCTCCTTCTCTCAGATTTCTCCTCCTGCTTATTTGCTCTGCCTGCCAGCCTGCCTGTCCTTTCTCCTGTGTTGCTGTAGACCATTCAGCTCTTTATTAGGTCATCGAGTGTTTTAGATGGGCGCAGAAACACAACTTCACAGAGATAATAAATGCAGCATAAACAAAGGTCACATATCTTTACATTATTAAATGTTTCACAGCATAAACAAAGTAACACACCTTAAAATAATACCCTACAAGTCATTTTTAGCTGCCCTTCCTAAAAAATGCTTGTGTAAGATAGTAAGCATATCTATTTACTTTTTTAACTCTACATAAATCCTAAGGAATCATATCATATACCTATGATCTATACCACAAAATTTGTGCAAAAATAACATGTTGCCTTAGTCACTTTTTAAAGTAACATTATGGTGCATAACTCATAAACATAACTCAGATTATGAGACCAACACACTGCCTACTGCATAAGTGCTCAACACCCTTAGCCATCAGAAAAATGTGAATCCAAACAACTCTGAGATACCATCTCACTCTCATCAGAATGGCTAAAATCAAAAACACTAATGACAGTTTATGCTGGAGAGGATGTGGAGAAAGGGGAACACTCCTCCACTGCTGCTGGGAATAACAAATTGTGCAGCCACTTGGTATGAAGATTCCTCAGGAAAATGGAAATCAGTCTACCACAAGATTCAGCAATTCCACTCTTGGGCATATACCCAAAAGATGTACACTCACACAATAAGGACACCTGCTCAACTATGTTCATAGCAGAATTATTTGTAATAGCCAGAACCTGGAAGTAACCTAGATGCCCCTCAGTTGAATAGTGAATAGAGAAAATGTGGCACATTTACACAATGGAGAACTATTCAGTTGAAAAAGAAAATGGAATCTTCAAATTTGCAGACAAAAGGATTGCACTATAAAAAAACATAATTTGTGAGGTAACCCAGTCTCAAAAAGACAAACATGGTACGTACTCACTCATATATAGATTTTAGACATGGAGCAGTTGATTGATAGCCTACAATCCCACAGCCAGAGAGTCTGGGAAGCAAGGAGGACCCTAAGAGAGATATGCATGGTAACCCAGAGAAGGGGAACGTGATGAGATATCCCAATTGGATTGGGAGCATGGAGGGTTTGCTATGCCCACAGATGAGGAGCACAGGAAAGTGAAAAGAGGCCACCGAAAAGAAAGAAGGAGCAGAACCAGCCCTCTATGCACTCAGGGGATGAGGGGCTTCCTTCGGCCTTCCTGGTGGGTCCTACTTAAGTTAAAGCTCATGGTCACTAACAGAAGATTAGCAATCTCCATACTCACCCACATTAAAATCACATTCTAGCTGCTTTCCTATTGCTGTGATAAACACCATGAACAAAAAGAACCGTGGAGAGGAAAGGGGTTATTTCATCTTCCACTTTCGGGTAACAGTTCATCACTGAGGAAGGCAGGGCAAGGACTCCATGCAGGAATTGAGACAGAGACCACACAGAAACACTGCTTGCCTGTTTGCTTACTCTGGCTTGATTGGTTACCTTCCTTTATATAACCTAGGGCCACTGAGCCATGGGAAGTACCACCCACAGTGGGCTGGGCTCTCCTCTATCAATTATCAGTCAATCAAGAAAATGTGCCAAGGCCATTCTGATGCAGACAATTCCTCAATTGGGTTTCCTCTTCCTAGATGTGTGTAGTTTGTGTCGAGTTGGCAATAACTGACTAGCACAGGCCATCTCTGAAAATACAAATGTTGACAGAAAATGAGAGAGGGACAAAGAAGAGAATTATCTTCACCTCTCCTGGCTCTTCTCATTTCCTCATCCACATCATGGCTATGATTCTCTTAGGAATCTGTGACCTTCTCCTTTTGAATACCTTCTGTAATGTAGTACAGAGGCCATTGAGAAGAGGGGATTAATAGGCAAGAAGCCCCTAAAAGAGCATCAGTCTCTAGTCTGGGGGCCATGTATTATCAGACCGATTCTACTCAAGTTTTGCTCAAGGGAAAGCCTAGGGGAATACACATTCATTACTCGCCAGATACTTTAGTGTCAAAACACCTTATCCACATAGTCATTTGATATTTCTTCTTTGCAACTAGGTAGTGGAAACAAATGGCATAGAAGCAGAGGGACTGTTGAAGACTTTGTACCTGATAATTAGTTCATTTTATGTCATGCAAGCAAAGCAGGAAACTCTTCCAGTCATACTAATATTTCTAAATAGCCATATATTTGGAATTATTTATTAGTCTAGCCTTTTCCTTAATGCAAATCAGCAGCAGAACTAAAGTAACCACTATATAACCCGCTACTAAATCCAGAGCTCCATCACTGGCAGTTCCCATGCATGGATATTACCAAAGAATAATTTAATCAGTGTTATACCATCTATTTGGACAACTTCTAAAAACGTATTTGTTGGTTTAGAGCCAAGCACGGACCTAAGGGTTTTACATAGACAATCTTTATGCTGACCACAGTCCTTCAGATAAGCTGTATTGTCCCCAACTTACTGAAAAAGAAACAGCCATGTTAGAATAATTCATCAGAAGCCAGATTCTAACCTTGGTCTATTTGCTGACATAGTTCATGAAAAATACCAGTGCTGGAGCACATGGACCACATATGCACACGGTTGACAGGCCCCTTCTTCGCAGCCCATTAGCACTGTTGACTTAGAGGGACTCAGACCTACAGCAGTGTAAGAGAAGTATAGCAAAGAACACAGGTTTAGTGACTGCATTGCTTCTGTCTTTTCACAAAGGCCATACTGGCTTTCTAGAGCACTTAGACCAACTGCATGTGTAGAACCTTCCAGGACAGAAAGGGAGGAGGAAGATGCTAACTATCAGGATACGTGAACCCTTCTTTCTGACTTGGATGTGGGAGAGCACATAGTGAGGGACTACTTGAGAACAAGGCCAGAGATTCTCAAAGCAGATGCCATAGCACTAGCTCTCCTGGGCAGAACTCATGTGTTCCCAGACTAAAAGAAATACCCAGAGAAGCAGGACTGCTGGGAAAGCCCCGGAAACCTGTGTCTAATGAGGAGCATCTCACACATCATTTGGAAATCATTTCTTAAAGCATTCGTGTAGGAGGAAGTCTGTATGCCACCATTAAACATGTCACTTACTAGAGGCGCATACAGATGAGGTAATAAAAGGGCGGTTTACCACACCGCTAACCACACCCACTTTAGGCAGGACTAAAGACGTATACGGCTGGACGTAAAAACGTATACGTACGTAGGCGGAACTACGTCACTAGCCAGGCCCACTTTTGGGCATGGCTAGGGGGCGTTATGGGGGAAGGCATAAAAGACAGCACACAGGAAGTCTCGCTCTCTTTTCCTGGAGTTCGGCTTCCGGTTCGGCAGCTGAAAACTGCTTGGCTCATCTGGGTTACTTGTTTGGTATCTTGTGAGTAATTTCTACAATAAATACTTAGTTTTACTTTCAGTAATTGTGTGTCGCTTATTGTTACAGCATCCCTTGGAGCATACGCATTTGAAATTACAATCCCAAAGTCCTGGGTTCTACTTGAAACGGGGAAGGGGTGTTTTTCTGAGGGGCATCTTTTTCATTTGAGCTGGACCATGCTTTCTGCTGGACCTTGGGGTCCTGAGTAAGGTTGAACTGCGTGGCCAGAAGGCATCAGTCAGATTTCCCAGGCTCCTTCCTCCAGTGCCTTTTATGTGCCAGTTCCTGGCCAATGTGGAAGTGTGGAACTTTATGTGAATGATTCAGTTTCCTTATACTGTTGACTCTATAATAAACTTGTGATCTAGATTTCTATTGTCTAACGAACAGACATTTGTAAACAAAGCCCCAAGTTCCACCTGCTTTATTAACTAGATGACTTCTGTTTCTCAGAATCCAAATCTGTGGCTATACAAATTTCCAGCTCTCCAATCCTAGAGTAAGATGCAATCTTGGCTTGGGGTGAAGAGTATCAGGAAATGTCTATGTGGGTCTGAGATAAGGGAGAAGATAGTGCTTCTGAAGCCTAAAAATGTTCCTGGATACCAGGAATCTTCTCATCTTCCACTGGCCACCGGAGAATGTGACTCTGTGTACTCTAAAAACTTAGGGACACTTAATGCCAGTGTGCATAACCCAACCCTGCCATCTTTCCCTCTGAGCTATAATCTTCCCACTGCCACTTTGGGGAGTCAACTCTGATGAGTACATCCAGCTGACAGGGATCTTCCTTTCTTACTTAATCACATCCCAATGCAAGTCACTCTTTTTATCTTTAAGTTTGTAATATGCATCTGGAAATGTGCAATGCCTTACAGGGTACAAAAATATTACATAATTCTGTAGACAGGAAATATTCTCTGACTACTGAACTCAGAGTCTGTTTAAATTGTCAAGGATCACAATTATTAACTAATATAATACAAAGCAGATACCCCTTAGATACATACATGTTGGGGAGGTCCTGTGCATTTGTCAATAAAGCACTGTCTGGCCTATAGGGAATCAAGATAGGAGGGACTAGGAGACCAGAAGGACTCTGGGTAGGAGAAACACGAGATTCAACATGTAACCGCCATGGGGTAGGATGCCTGGAACTATTCTCCGGTAAGAGAAATACTTAGATTAACAACTATGGTTTAATTACTTAAGTCAGAGCTAGCCAGTAAGAAACAAGCAAGAGATAGACAAGGTAGATCTTTAAAGCCGGGAAACAGGGAAAGAGACCAAGACTTCCTGTGTGCTGTCTTTTATGCCTTCCCCTGTAACGCCCCCTAGCCATGCCCAAAAGTGGGCCTGGCTAGTGACATAGTTCACTGCCTAGTATGTATATGTCTTTACGTCCGGCTGTATACGTCTTTACTCATGCCTAAAGTGGGTGTGGTTAGCGGTGTTGTAAACCGCCCTTTTATTACCTCATCTGTATGCACCTCTAGTAAGTCACATGGTTAATGGCGGCATATGGGCTATCTCCTACACATACAGACTCAGAAGAGCCATGGACTTTTGTAATTTTGTTTTTTCCCCTCCCATTATTGTAGGTTCAGTAGTCACGGTAGGACATGGTACATAGCAGAAAATGACTATATGAAAATCAATCAATGAATGAGTGAACGGAACCACTGCTGGAGACTTCGGTGAGAATATTGATGGTAAGAAGGGACACAATGAGTTAAAGGATTAAGAATCAGGATACTTGCACATGGAGGAAACACTGTGACTTCCCTTTCTACCATGGAAATGCCCTTATGTAGAGGAAGATCAACTAAGTTGGTAAAATATGAAGGGCTTTGGTCTAGCTTGATTCCTGTTGCTGTGATCAAACACTCTGAGACAAATCAACACGTGGAGGAAAGAGGTTTTTTGGTTCATACTTCCAGGTCACAGCTTACTATGAGGGAAGTCAGAGAAGGAACCTGAAGGCAGCACTCTATCCTTGAAACAAACTCACAGCTGAGGAAGAACTGTGGAGGCCTGGCTTCTTGCTGGCTCACCTGCAGGTTCATTTACAGCTAGCTTTCTTCTATAGCTTAAGATGACCAGCCTAGGAGTTGTGGCGCCCAGCATGGTCTTGTCTTTCCTACACTAATGAATAACTGAGGGTTCCCCAGAGACATGCCCATAGGCATGTATTATCTAGACAATCCTTTCACTGAGACTTCCTTCTCAGGTAGCTCTAGGCTGTGTCAGGTTGACAGTTAAAACTAATTAATATGGACTTCATCCAGAAACCATGGATCTTTTTGCTGCTCTGAATAATTATTTTTCTACTGGATGCCAGATAGACCATTAAACAACCTTGAAGGCAAACATGGGTAGGAGAGTTGAAGGTTAACAACGTACTGTCTCTTTTCCCACACACGCTTATGAAGAATGGTTAGAGTTAACTGCAACCTGATAAACAATGAAGTCTGTAAGAATAAATTTCAAGCATATGGGTTAATATAAATGTAGGTATTACCATAGACTCTTGCTGAGAAACTGCTACTCTGGGTCTGGTCTGCTGATGCCAAGGCCCTTGGGTAATTATGGGACTGATTCAGATTTCCTGGGTCATGTTGCCATAATGATGAGGAATCTGAAAACTTGATTTGGGATAGTGGCTGGTGGTCACACTCAAATGATGGAGAAGAAATGTCTACATGCTTCCTCCTCTCCAGAATTGGGACTTTTGATGTACAGTTCTTGAAGGTCTTGCAAAAGGGTGAAATGGAGTGATTAGTCAGAACAATTTGGTTAGATTAGAGACGAAAAACTCCTGCAATCCAAAAGAGCCCTACTAATTGTACGTCAACCAATGAGAAATTCTGAGGCAACTGAGATGGTTTTGCAACACAGTGCTGAGCAGACAGCAGCCGAGTGGGGGCAGGGCAAGCCACCCCCAGGGTCAGGGTTTGGTTTTCTATTTTATTAGCACAGGGAGTGACCTCACTACCAGTAAATCGGGTGTCCTGATGTGTGGTTTTCCATTTTTCCCTTTAAGGGATCTCTCTCCACAGCTCTTCACTATTTTTTTCTGAAATATGAATTGTTTATCATACTTACAAAAGCAAATTCCAACTAAAATAAAAGGATCACAGACTGCCATTAACATGCCCATTCTACAGAGTTTAGCAGAGCCCTTAAAATAGGGTTATGAAGAAAAAAACATATTTTCTTCAAAATTCTATTCACTTGAGGCCAAATTTCATGAGTTTCAACTATAAGAGGATATTTCCTTCCGAAAACCTGTTATTACTTCCTCAAAATAATGAAAAAGCACTTCATATAGAACCCTTACCACAGGCACTTTAACATTTTGTGATGGAGAAGTCACAACAGTCAATGAAATGGAAAATTTTCTCTAGGTATTTCCCTCTCTTCAGTAAACTTCTGAGTTCCAATTTGAAAGAAAGAAGGAAAGAAAGAAAGAAAGAAAGAAAGAAAGAAAGGAAGGAAGGAAGGAAGGAAGGAAGGAAGAGAAGAAAGAAAGCCCACAAAAACAAAGTGCTTCGCTGCAGCTACACAACCTGACTGACGCATGAATGAGCAGGCAGGCAGCTAAAATGACGCAGGAGCCCAAGTCACCGGTTGTCATTGATTCTCTATTATTAAAACTTCCCGCAGTGATATCATCGGTGACATGGAAAGATGTTCAGTCACTCTGCTAACTAAAGGAAAAAATTAAAGCAAGTGCCTCAGCTTTGCTGAATAGACTGACAACCACCAGGAGGCCACAGGGCAGCCATGTCTACTGACTGGAGTCTAAACCTGGACAGCCTCAGAGAGACACTCATGGCAGCCCATCTACCTCCAGAAAGTTTTCTTCAGAAACATTTCCCGAGAAAGTCTGCCAGAAGATAGTGTGTTGCTGTAAACCACCAGCATATATGTCTGTAAACTGAAGAGACATGCTGGAAAAGCAGGACATGCATTTTAAAAAGGCCCATTAACAGCAGAATGGGTTCAAAAGATGTTGGCACACAGAATGAGAATCATATGGCTTCCTGTGAGGACAAGTTGTCAAGACTGGCTACTTAGTATAAGAGGCCTTTTCCTCCTCTTCTTTTATTCATTCATTCATTAACTATCTGTTAGGCAGTTACTCGATGAAAAGCACCATGTGAAGACTCGCTCTATGTCTTCAGCAGACTCAGGATCTAGGGAGTTGGTCACTTCAGTGTTCTTATTGACCAAACACAGCACCTTAATTTGCTAGGTTCAATCTGT